CTGTGTGATATGATAAACAGGACTCCTCACTGTGCAATGGTTCTGTGTCAGTCTTTACATGACCCTCTGACTGTCCACAGCCATCGTGGTGCTCTTTATGTCTTCCTCATCTTTTATCTCCAAAGCTGTGCTCACCACATATTGTACACTTTGAAGGAAGGAATAAATTCTTTCTCCAGTATTTCTGTAAGCATGATGTGAAGCCTACCTCAACAAGGACAGGAGACAGATCCGTTTACACAGGTTGGGTGTGTGGAACAAGTCGCACAGAGTAGGTTTTGTCTGTGTTGCCTTCAGCTCCTCCTTCATGGCGGATTTCACAGCCTTCAGTTAATAACAGAGACAACAAATTGTTCCATTGTCAGAAAATGATGGGTATTGAGGAAGCACCAAGCAAACAAAGAGAGCAAGTTCAATAATTTCATTATCTAGTGGAAAATATAGAAATTGAAATAATAGAAGGTATAAAAGCAGTGTGCTAGGCGAACTCAGTAGTTCACAGAACCTCAGGGAACTTGTGCAATGAAGACACATTAGCAGGAAACTGGAGAGGATTATACAGCATTGAAAAAGAGATTGTATGTTAGAGATTTATATGAGGAAGGAAACCAAATGATGGGTTAGGCTACAATCCTACAATCCAAAGCCCCAATCATACTAGATGGCTATAGAAGTGTAGGTAGTAGAGTTTTTTCTCCATTAGTTACTAATGATGAGAAAACAATTCTTCTGTCTCAGGAAGATGAATTTTTTCCTGGAAACATATTTTTTATTTTTATTTTTTAGTTTTTGAGTCACCCTTTTTTATAAAATAACTTGCATGGTGTGTCCCCATGAAAGAGAAACCTAGAATTAAACTTGAGTCAGAATCAGGGATGATATTGGTTTAAATTGATTTAAAGTCAGACTCAGTTTTATACTGAAGTGCTACACTGGACTTGCCAATTGCTTGTTGTGTACCCTGGGCAAGGTGACTGCTATCACTTTACCTCAATTTCTTTGTCATTGAAAAGAAGAAGAAATAAAAGAATCAGGATCAGGAGAAGTAGGAAAACAAGCCCTTCTCAAAATCATTTTCTAGGCTATTTAGTACTAATTTATAAATATACATAACAAACTACTTCTACCAGAACTCTTGTACTTATTAATTTACTAGTTATTTGGAGATATTAATTCCATTGCCATGTCTCCTCTACAAATGTGATAATACTATAAACGTCATCAGAAAACTTTCTTGAAGAAGGGAATTCAGAGAATTGGACCTACTCCCATGACTGGGGAGTTCTACACCACTGGGAATGGCCCGACAGCTTTCAGCCCTAGCTTCAGTAGTGGAAACAGGATTTATGCTTGTGTTAAAGAGGCATCTGTTGTGATACCCTCTGCAGCAAACACATAAACTCATGACCACTGGCCATTGTTCTCGTGATATTAATAAGAATTGACTTCAAGAAGACCTTAAATCTGTCTCACATGAGAGCTACAATGCCTGAGAGTGGCCTTCAAACTCTTTCAATTTCAAAGTCAAACATCAGGGTATGCTGGCTTAATTTGGTACCAGTTACAAATTTTTGATGAGCTTACAGAAATGAGTGGAGCTTCCAGAGATATTTAGGTGGGCAATGCTAGCTGACATTGGGGCCTTTACAAGTGTGTCCTTCCTGGTAACCCTTACTTGGGGAAGAAGCAGCACCTATTCAAATGGCGATATGCTGGTTCTTCACATTTTATGAATGTATCTTTCTTTGTAACTTCCTTTCTATGCCAATCATCACACAATGATTTGGAGAAAAGCCTGAAAATGTCTCAGTTCTCCATGAGTGCCAACATTGGTGCCTTGAAGTCAGTTTATTCTGATTTACAAGAGCATTTTGTTAAATTTTTAATGATTAATGGACCTGTTGACATCATGAAGTTAGCTTGAATTTGACTCTGGTGGAATTTAACAAACCACAGAAATTAATAATTGCTATAATTCTGGACTCTAGGATTTTTTCAAATCTTTGAATGTTGGAGTTAAACATTTACCAGAACACCAGTGACCTTGCCCTTCTGAAGTCATTGGGACTTCACTCAACTGCAAATAACTATATCCCTGACTGTTGAAACCTGGATGGTTCTATCCTAACCTCGAAGACACATTTCAGACACTACAATTTTCAAGATGCATTCAAAGCCTCCATCTCTACATTGAGGTTAGGTTTCCATCTTTGGGATTCACTTTGCCGCATTACTTGAATGCTCAAAGGCTGCATCAAGCCCACTGATCTGGTGAGGATGGGTGATCTTTCTGAAGACAGGAGCTGGAAATGCTTCTGTCCCATATCTGTCAAAGAATTTGTCACAGGGAGTTATGGAACATGCTCAGAAAGGAAGTGCAAGAAAGGAAAAATAGTTATGGGGAAAGAGGGCAAAACACACAGATCCAGGGCAGAATGCATTTGGAAGCTGAAAGAACTGACATTCTAGTGCCACTTGAGTAATAAAACAAATAAATTTAGCTTTGGTACATTGTTTATGAACTTGTTCATTGATAGACAATGGTGATAACTATTTTCTGCTTCTCAAATTACTTTTTAATGTATAATCAATATTGAAAAATCTTGCCTTATTTAACAATGCATCTTGATGATTTCGGAAGTAACTGCATACCTGTGAAGTTGTCACCAAAACCTATACATCAATATACTAAGTCCCTTCAAAATTTCTTTTCCCCCTGTGTATTCATTTTTATAAGAATAGTTAGAACAAGATCTACATTCTTGGACATTTTGAAGTACATAATATAGTATTGTTTATTACTGTCAGAATGTCATACAGTGGATTTCTAGGACTTATTTGTCTGATGTATTTCCACAATGAATATGAGAATGCAGAGATATCCTCAAGATCCAAATTTGAATTCCTTTGGATATATACCAAGTTGTGGGACTGCTGGATCAAATAATTCTATGCAAATTTTTGAGGAATTTCCATATTGTTATCCATAATGGTGGCATCAATTTACATATTATCAGAAGTGTGTACAGGGTTTTTTTCCTCCACAATCTCATCATTTAGCTATCCTTGACCTAATAATAGCTCTCCTAACAAGTATAAGGTAATATCTCAATGTGGTTTGGATTTCTACTTCCCTGATGCTTAGTGATGCTAAGCATTTTTTTACATACCATTTTGTCATTGTGTCTTCCTTCACACATGTCCACATTTCAATACAAAAGAAACAGAAACACAAAAAACAATTTACAGAACACAGTAAAATCAGTAATACAGAGGTACAGGAAAAGCATCAGATGAAATTCAGCATCCTCTCATCATAAAAGCTCTCATCAAATTAGGTATTCAAGGATCATATCTCAACACAATAAAGCCCATTTGTGAAAATCCCATGGCTAACATGACACTGATGGGCATCAGGGGAGCCTAAAGCCTTCTTTTTAATGACTAGAACAACACAAAGATGACAATCTACCACTTCTTTTCTATGTAATATTGGAAATATTCAGGTAATCAGAACAGAGAAAGGAATAAAATGCATTCAAATTGGAGAAAAAGAAGTTAAATTACTCTGCTTGCAGATGACATGAGCTTATAGAGAGAAAATGCTAATGAGTCCATCAAAAAACTAGTAGAACTCATAACCAAATTCAGTAAATATGTGTGATACAAAGTCAACATGAAAAAATCAGTATGATTTCTATAAATAATAATAATGTGTGAAGAAAGAATTCAAGAAAGTAACTGCATTTACAAAAGCTACAGAAAAAGTACCTAGGAATAAATTTGACTATAAAGGTATAATGAAAATTATAAAACATTTGTGAAACAAATTGAAGAAGACACAAATAAACAGATGCATATCCTGGGTTCATGAATTAGAAGAATTAACATTGTTACAATATACCTATTGTTCAAAACTAGCCATAGATTCAATGCAATCTCTATCAAAATACAATGGTTTTTTTCACAGAAGCAGAAATGTTTTCCCAAATATATATCCAAAATATTTTGAAACCATTAAAAATCTTGAACAATCAAATAATCTTGAGTAATAAAAATAATGAAACAAAATCAAAACCTAACAAACACAAAAATCTAGAAACAAAGATGTAGGCATCATGCTGTCTTACTTCAAAATATACTACCAAATCAGAGTATTCAAAATAGCATGGTATAGGAAGAAAACAAACCCAGACCAGTGGAATAGAACAGAGAGCCCAGAAACAAATCTACACATGTCCATGGAACTGATTTTCAACAAAAGTCCTGAGTATACAAACTGGAGAAGAAACATTTTCTTTAATAATGGTGCTGGAGATAAAATGGATATTGACATGCTGAAGAAAGAAGGCAGACCCATGTCTTTACTGCATAGGGAAATTGATCCAAAATAGACTGCAGACTTAAATGGAAGTCCCCCAAACCATTACACTACCAGAAGAAAACTTGGAATAAAAATACACAACTGTGGTGTTGGCAAGGATTTTTTAGATGGGACCTCAGAAGGGAACAAAAGTCAAAATTGACAAGTGGGATTAGACAAAAAATTCTGCACATAAACGAAGCAAGGAACATATGGAGGAAACAAAATACACAGGGAAGAAGATATTTGTCAACTATGCTTCTGACAAGTCGTTGTTCTCCAAGATGTATGAGGAACTCAAATGATTCAATAACCAAAAATGAATGAAAATTCCAAAAAGTAATAAAAATAATCAAATATTAAGATGGGAACACAATATTCAAAATCACCTGGAACAGCTCAAAATACAGATTCCTAGGCTCCAGCATCCCCCTCCCCAACACTTACACACAAGGATCCTTATGAGCAGTAGTGGGAGCCATCAATTTTTTTTAAAATGGGCAAAAGATCTGAACAGACACCTCTCAAAAGAAGACCTGTGAATGGGCAATAGGTTTAAAAAATGCTCAATATCACTAAACACACAGTAAAATGCACATCAGTCCTGCAATGAAGCAGAACATGGTGGCATATGCTTGTAAGCCCAGCTACTTGGGAGGCTGAGGCAGGAGAATTGTAAATTTGAGCCCAGCTTGGCCAATTGAGTGATTCCCCTCTCTCAAAATAAGAAAGTGGAGGAGATACTGGGGATATAGCTTAGTGATGGAGAAACCTTGAGTTCAATCCCTAGCAACAAAATATATATATATATAGTGATATATTTACTTGTCCCTATTTGGAAAGGCTACTATCAAAAAAAAAAACACAAAGGATTACAAGTGTTAATGAGAATGTGAACAACAGGGAAACTTTTCACACTGTTTATAGAAACAAATTAGTACAATCATTATGGGAAATAGTATGAAATTTCTTCAAAGAAGTAAAAATAGAATTGCTATATTCAGGGTGTATATCAAAGGAAATGAAATCAGTGTGTCAAGAAGATGTCTATCTGCATTCACATGTCTATAGTATCATTATTTACAAGAGCCAAGATATGAAACCACCTCGGGTGTTCATCAACAGATGAGTGAATAGGTTGAGCATGATGGTGCATGCGTGTAATCCCAGCAAATCAGAAGGCTAAGGCAGGAGCATCACAATTTTAAGGCTAGCCTCAACAACTTAGGACCCTGTCTCGAAATAAAAAGACTGGAAATGTAGTTCAGTGGTAAAACACAAAGAGGTTCAATTCCAAAAATTAAAGTTAACAAATAAATAAATAAATAAAGCCAGATGAGGGAGCAAATAAAATTGATTATATGATTAGATTAATCGTATCATAACATAGTCAGTGAATAATCCTTTTGAAGGATTCAAAATTTGAATGGATTATTCAACTTTACCAGGGTGAAATTAGAATACACTTTCTCCAGAAATAAACTTTGATTTTTGATCATTTCCTGTGGGTTACTGCATGATATTCTTTCAACATGTTAGGAAGCTGCAGTGAGCCATAGTTCCCACCAAAACATGACCAGCACAGGCAGTTAAACTAGAGGTTGCTCAAGTGAATTTCCTAAGGCATCAAATAAAACACAGACCACAATTTACCTTTAAATTCAAGCCCCAGGACAGCTCCTCTGCCCTCGGCCTCAAGCTCCCCAAACAGGAGAGGGAGGAATATCACAAGAGGCTTGAGAGAGACAGCAAGCACGTTTCCGAGTGGTCTTTCATTGGGGGGACTCTAGATTCTTTAGAAATTTCCATCCAATAAAGGTCAAGAGGGGAAAGGTTACAAGGACAGGTAAGGTAACTCAACCTCTGCAGAAAGGCATGCCCATGCATGAAGACACATTTGGATGCATTTTTACATTTTTACTACCCTCAAGATCGGGGGCTACCATCTTCAGCCACTTAGAAATAGCTAGATCTCCAGGGTTGACAAACAGTGCCTCGAACTGATCAGGAGGGGAAAACACTGGTTACATAATGTGGTAGCCTCCCACAACAACCTACACTCCACCAGGTACTGTGTGTGTGTGTGTGTGTATGTATGTACGTGTGTGTGTGTGTGTGTGTATCAGATTATATATATCAAATGCACTTTTGACTTGTGACATTTAAATTATTGTTGGTTGTTATGATTTGGATATGAGGAATTCCCCCCTCCCCCACCAATGTTCCACTGTATTGGTGGAGGTGAAATGATTAGATTAATAGTATCATAACATAGTCAGTGAATAATCCTTTTGAAGGATTTAAAATTTGAAGGATTGCAAAGTGGTTTACCATAGGCAAGTGGGGTGTGGATGGAGGCAGTGGGTCACTAGGGAAACACCTTGGGGATTATATGTTTTATTTTTGTTTCCTTCTCCTCTATTTTGGTTTCCTGATTACCATGAAGTCAGCCTTCCTCTGCAATGCCTTCTGCAAAAAAAATACTACATCTCACCTCTGGACCAGACCTATAGAGTCAACTAACGATGGACTGGGACCTGAAACTGTCAGCACAAAGTAAAATGTTCCTGGGCAAAATCATTCTTGTCAAGTATTTTGGTCACTGACACCAAAAGCTAACTAACATGTTGGTTTATTGAGACTTTTATTAATTAGTTTACTTAATTGATTTAATTGGCTAGACTTAACCATTCCCAAGACTTAACTTAACCCTGTAGGCTTCAAAACATCACATTATGAAGATAAAAAGAATAAAATCCTGTGGAGGCAGTTGAATGAATTAATTATGAGTTCCAAAAGGAAGAAAATATTGGAACTCTTTGCCTCCTCTGAATAAAATCTCTGTGCCCAATCTTTTCAATTACACCACATTGCATCTTTGGACACCTATTAACAGTGTGTCTTCCCTGTCTCATAAGCACCTCCCATACTGCTCACCTCTATGGTTAGGTCATCTGCAGAAGTCTTCATTCCATTCACCCGTGCAGCTTTTTTAAGTTCCTGTAAGCCCTCCTCGGGTTTGTTGTTGATAATCAGCCACCGAGCTGACTCTGACATCCACCTGATCAAAGACAATGGAAGTGTAGTCAACTCTCACATGGTATTTACCACATCACCTTCATTCTCCTTCAATCTAATACCTACCAGTTACTCAATTAAGCCAAGAAACACACTGTCTTGTTGCCTGGTACCATAACTAGGCAAATGGGAAATGATGCCTGCATGCAGTACACCTGCACAGCTGGGATGGCACACATGGAGTCCTTCCTATTAGCAGCCTTGTTGGTTGGACACACCTTGACTATGGCACCCATAGCACTGGAGCATGAGGGACACTTGGCTGTTCAGACCTTCTCCAAGTTCTTTGTAAGGGCAAAAGAAATGCTGATTTATAAAGGGTTCTTTTCCTAAAATAAGCACCCTAAAATATTTTTGCTTACTGAAGGTCCCATGCAGACTGGAAGCACTCCTGCTCCTGCCACTCTGATGGAATCTGATACACAAACAGCTCAGTCTGCCTGGACACTCTCATCTATGTAATGGGAACAGCAATGTCACCAGTTTTCAGATTTGTTATGAGGATGAATGACATCATAGATGAGTGCACCACAGGGTACACTCTCTTGTCTATCTGAATTTATCTCATTCTCTTAATCTGTAATCATCTCTTAGAGTCACTTCTCACCAAATAGGCCTCTTCCACTGAGTCAGCCTCTTGGGAGGAGGAACATCAAAGCCTGTCTTAGGCTTTCTAAAGACAGGAAAGGAAGATGATCTGTGGAAAAAATTATGTAAGTTGTCCAGGCAGCCTTCATTTTCAACATGATAAACAGTGCTCTTCCTTCATTAAATAGCTATGGATGGAAATACGTTCTTTCTCTCATCCATTATCACCTCCAAAGTTGAAAATCACCCCAAAATTCTCTGTTGGGCATTTTAATTTGAAAGATATACACAAACTACATGGCATAGTTGTGGCTATCTAATCTTCAAGTGCTTCCTGATGTGATGGAAAATGTTTTATTGTTTTGTCATTTCATGTTTATTGAATACATTTAGTTTTCATCAAGCATCTTCATAGTCACTATATATTTCAATTTTTTTAAATTAAAGAGAGAGAGCATAACAGTGATTGTTACCACAAATTTTTCTAGAAATAATATTAATTTTCTCAAGTCCCTAAAATTGGAAGTGGCAGAGTCAAACTAAAACTTAGTTTAAAAAAATTATTAACATATTATAACTGTATATATAATACTGGGATTCATTGTGACATATACATAGGTGCACACAGCATAATTTATCTATCTTATTCCCCAGTATCTGCCCTTCTCCATTCCCTACTCCCTCACCATGATCCCTTTCCTCTCCTCCACTGGTCTCTCTTCTGTTATATTTTAATTAGTGGTTTTAATTGTATATAAAAATTGATTCATTGTGGTACCTTTTTTCATGGCAATACCATAATTTAGTTGATTTTATTTCCAAGTACATACCTCCCCTTTCATTACATTTACATTTCCTGTCACTACTCTATGGGGCTCATGTGATAGCCCTTTTTTATTT